ATAGTTATCATGGCAAATCTGGTCAAACTCGAATTTGAAGCTCTCGATATATCCGGAAAAAATTATATCTCATGGACATTGGATGCCGAAATTCATTTGGCGGCAAGGGGATTAGAAAAAACAATAATCTCCCAAATGATTCATCAATACAGGATAAAGCTAAAACAAAGATATTTCTGAGGCATCATTTGAATGAGGCTTTGAAAAATGAATATTTAACTGTAAAAGATCCTGCAGATCTCTGGAAAGCCTTAAAAGAAAGATATGATCACCAGAAAACGGTGATTCTCCCCCGGACTCGTTATGAATGGATGCATTTACGCTTTCAAGACTTCAAAACTGTTAACGAGTACAATTCGGCCATGTTCCGCATTTGTTCGGTGTTAAAATTATGCGGAGAAAACATAACTGATTATGATATCCTGGAAAAAACGTTGTCCATGTTCCACGCTTCAAATGTACTATTGCAGCAACAATACAGAGCAAAAGGCTTTGTAAAATATTCTGAGTTGATTTCTTGTTTGCTGTTGGCTGAACAAAATAACGAGTTGTTGATGAAAAATCATGAATCTAGACCCACGGGGTCTACTGCGGTCCCTAAAATAAATGTTGTAATATCTAAACAGGGAACCGGAACTGAAAACAGCCAGACATATGTGCGTGGAAATACCTCGGGACGTGGCCGGGGTCGTGGACGTGGACGTGGACGTGGCCGTGGCCGTGGATATGGCCCAGATCGCCGATTTGACCAAGGCTTCAAATTTCACAGAGGGTACAACTCGGGCCGAGGGAATAATCGTGGACGAGGCCGTGGCTATGCCCAAAATTTTGAAAGGGGGAGAAATTTCCAGCCAAAATTTGAACAGAATAATGTGACGGAGAATAATAATGAAAATGCATGTTATCGATGTGGAAAGACGGGACATTGGGCACGAAACTGTCGTGCTCCGAAACACGTTGTGGATAAATATAATGATTCCCAGAAATCAAAAGATAAAAATGTAGAAACTAATTTTATAGTTGGGGAATCCTCTGAAAATAATACAACACGTGTAGATGATGACTATGGCATC